GAGATACGACAATGAATCGAGCGTTATCGCAAGAAATACGAGGTCCAAGACCGCCTGTGATGTATTGTCAGATCTGAGGAGTCCTCAGTGAGGATGGGCTCACGATAGTTTATGATCGTCTGTCGGACAGACCGTACTGGAACGGACGAACTCTGTCCCTCGAATTGCACTCGAATTAGCCATGCCGCAGAATTGGTATAACGGGAATGGAGATGTACAGTGTTATCAAACTCACGCGTTCTACGAGCAGAATGAGATTCTTCGCGGAATGGCATTTTGAAGTTGTTCCACATTTTAGCTGACTATTCTTATTTGTGCTACTCTGTGTTTACTTCTCTCCAGAGCTTTATCCAGGTGCTCGCTGCGCACTCCAGGTGCAATTTTGAAAACCCTGAGTGCGTATAGAACATCGACCCGCGCACCTCTGAGATGCGCACTCAAGTGCGCGGCCATTTTAGTATGTTGGGTGCTGCACGCATGTACACGTCTTTTCTCAAGAGAGATCTTGGGCACTCGCCTCTACCTGATGACGGAGACTTCCATGGTCACTTCTTGGATAATCCTCGTCTGGTTTCTTTGTATCCGAACCATGTCAAGATCTGTGCCATCGTGATGTGCCTACCTAGCTCCACGGCATCTGTGGAACGGTGCTTCAGCACAACCACGCGCTTGGCTGACGACTACCATCCCATGTCGGGCGTCACCTTGACTCGCCTCATGCGTATTAGCGAGCAGGGCCCAGCTATCAACAATAACATCAAAAATAACTATGGAAGCTTCATCGAAGCGGTCTGGTCACACTGGAAGGACATGCAGAGTAGGAGGATAGAGTCTACTTGACAGGACTATCTACTTTTTCAGTGAAATGTCAGATCCATCAAGACTTTTGTTTCGATTTGTGACTTTTCCTTTGGTTTTCAGAGGTAACTTGGAGTCTAAATTAAAGACCATTGAATTTTGTTCAAGTGATTCTTCGCACATCGATACTCGTACATCAACAAGAGATTTGCTTATCTCGACTCGAGTTGCCTCGAGGTCCTCGAGCATGGTCGCCGTCAGCGACTCGCTGACGACGCGAATATAGGCATGACGTTGCTTTGGCGTCATCAAAGGTTATTTCATTCCCTCTTTCGCTATCAGAGCGTTGAGTTGCACTCATACGGCAACATGAACGGTGGGTTTAACACCGTGTTACACCGTCCGCGAACTCGAGATCTTTTCGAACCAATCCCGAACTTCGGGATTCGGGACCCGAAGATCTCGAAGTTCGAGAGTCAGTTTGCGTCTCGAATTTTGAGAATTTGAATTTGAGTCACTCAAACTGGAAGCACTTCAGACTTCAAGGTGCGCGATTCGTTCGGGTGAAAGCGGTGCGTGCGCCGGTGATGTCCTCCTGGATAAAGCCCTGCTTCTCTCAGAGAAGTTCCCTGTTGTAGTTGATTTACCACTTGTACTATCTGTATTTGCAAACCTACCCCATCTACTTCCGTGGTGTGCTTGGTTCCATACACGGCGATTAGAAGCCTAGAATTCACTACTACGAGTGGTATGAGAAAAGCTGCATGTACGTCATCGTTCTTCATGGATTTTTCAATGACGAGTGACCACCTGCGCATCTCAACTTTTTCAATCTCCCTCAAGTTGGCCACAACTCCGCATGACCCGTCAATGACGGGCCGTCATTGCAACGAGAGGTACACTGAGTTTATTACACTCTCATACACTATCTCAGCAAACAGTCTAACAAATTGTCTGGAGTGAGCACAGAGGAGTGCTTCTTGAAAGCTCCAATGCCGAGGTTGATCAATCTGAGAACAAGGGAGTTTATTGGTGGACCTTCGAGCTTCGGATTCCATGGCTTTTCGGGTTCGATTTACGGCACAGGCTTTTAGCAACCGTTTTGCACTTGCCACAAGGTGCGGGGTGAGGGTGAGAGTACTTCGGCAGGATATAGAGCTGTGCTTTTCTGAATGGTATGGTTTTCGAGAGTTTAATTGGTATAGTTAGAGACAATTAATTTGAATGAACGATTTGACTTGTGTCTACTGATATGTAGTATAACCTTCCCTCAATGAGCTCTACTCCCTCTCGGTCGTGGACAACTAGAATGTCACTGTTTGCAGGGCGTAGTAATTCACTACGGATAGAGGATCCATCAGAAGCTGAGCCTCTACCAATCCCAGGTATTTGTTCAGTATTGGAGGAGTATATGTTGGCTTCCCTCAGCTGTGCTGAAGAGTTTGCATACGAATTCGGGTAGATGGGTACAGAAACCGATAAGAATTTGCCAAAATTTTCATACCCTCACTAACACATGTGGTTGACCATTTACATAACTTCCTACATTGTATTGTCTCCTCAGTAGTCCCTGTCGTAGCGGTTGCTACTGCTTCTGGTTTCGATAAGCCATGGTATGTGATCTCACCTGAGAGCTCATTTCGGGTTGTTTGGGATCTCACTGGAATGCTACTCATCCTGTATGAGGTAGGAAATCATTCTGGGGGTGAAAATATGCACATGGTCAACCACGTGTGGATGACAATATGGGAATTTGG